GCTCTGCATGAACGCGGTGGACCCACAAAACCCTCCCGCGTAGGAGGCGCGGGAAGGCGGCCTGCCTCTCGGCTACAGCCTCCGCCTGTCTCCGGATTTGTGGGAAGCAAGGATGACAACCCCGGTCACAGAACCACCGCAGTTCCCACACCTGTCTTTGCGGTTTAAGGTACCCTGGCAGGGAACCTTCAGGGGCCCCAGGAACCCGGCACCCCTGGCCGGACAACGCAGGCTGCCTGAGGCTGTGCTGTCCAGAAGTCGCCTGCTGGGGCTTTCCTCCCGCAGGACACTCACACTTGGACGGCACGTAGTCGGCGTAGGTCTCTGCGTGGCCCAGCTCCTCTGCCTCATCCTCCTCGGCCTCGTCCTCCTCCTCAGGCTGACTCTGAGACTGCCGGCCAGGTGCTGTCACTTGGGGGATGGTCCTGTCCCCCCGCAGCACACCAGCCTCCCCGCCAGGTGGTGGGGAGAGGGGCCCCCAGCCCCCAGTACAGCACGGTGCCTTCCTGGAACCTCAGTTTCCCCCTCTATAGAGTGGATAGACCATACTTCTCAGCCAGCCCAGGGCCCAGCACACAGCAGGTGTGTGAATGGGAGTGGCCCTCCCTCGTCCCCAGGAAGGGTAGGCAGCTGTCGGAAGGGGCCTGGCTCACCTGATAGCTGACAAGAAGTGGCGTGCTGGGGAGGGAGGACACAGGGTCCTCAAGGCCTGTAAAAGGCCCACTGGGCAGAAACAGCTGCAGGGGAGATGGAGGGAAGAGTGGCTGTGAGCCTGCAGGCCCTGGGCCCGGCCTCCGGGGCCCACCAGCCCTGTCCTCCAGCCCCTCTGCTGGCCACTGGCCTCCTGCCTGCTGCCTGCCCACCTAGATCTGGTAGAGAAGGAAGTACCACAAATAACAGGGTGTCAGCTACGTAAGCACTAGGAGGGCAGCGGACAACATGATAAATGTAATTAATACTGCTGTACGTTATACGTGAAGGTTGTTAAGCGAGTAAATCCTGCTCATCAGAGGAAAAAATACGTTTTTCTACTTCTTTGATTTCGTATCTGTGAGGTAACGGACGTTCTCTAACTTACTGTGCCAGTCATTTCACAGTGCATGTAAGTCAGATCATTGCACTGTGCACCTTAATCATACACAATGCTGCACATCAACTGTATCTCAATAAAACTGGAAGGAAAAAAGATACACGGCCAAAGGTTTTTAAAACGAAAGTAAGATGAAAGTGAGATACAGGGAGATCAGAAACCTATTCTCAATTCCCTCTCCCTTTTTTTTTTTCTGAATTAACAAAAACAAACAAACAGCTGCAGGCCCAGGTTCCTGGAAGGCTGAGTCAGGTTCCTGAGGGCCGCCTGGCCGCAGGGGAGTGGCCACTGGGCTCAGCTGCCTTTCTGCCAGCCGCTGCGGCCACCGGGCCCCACGCTGTCCCCGCGGGCACTTGCACCTGGAGGCAGGGCTGGGCCTGGGTCGCCGTGGAGGCTGCTCTGGGCATGTCGCACCCCCCTGCCAGCCCCAGGCTGGGCCTCTCAGGACCGTCTGTTCCAATGGGTGGTCACAGACCCTTCCTGTGGGTCCCTGGGGCCCAGGGGCGCTGAACCCATCGGAGCAGCTGGGCATACAGCCACCAGCGTCCACGAGTGTGTGCTGGTCTCCGTGGGCTCGGCCCAGCCAGATGGAAGGAAGGCTCCCCATCTGGAGGCACTGGCGCTCCAGCCACATTTCCAACGACCGCCTCTCAAAGCCTCCAAAAGGCTAGGAACTGTGCTCCTGGCAGAGGGGCCTGGATGGAGGCGTCCCCTGGACACCCCTACTGCCCAGCCCTGGGAAGGTGCTAGAGTCTAGGCCTGGTGCACCTGGACACCCTGCTCCTCCCTGACCTCTCCAGGCTGACCTCACCTCGTCCTGGGCCTGGCCACCTCCTGGCTCCCTCCTCCTCCCCGTTCATGTCCTGCACAAGGAGCTGCAGAGGCTACCTACCTCCAGCACAGAAAGCTGCCAGGAGCTGCTCGCCATGGTGACAAATAGGTCCATGCCCCTACCATCCCCGCCAGGCCCATGCAGGAGCCTATCAGGCTTGTTCCTGCCACAGGACCTTTGCACAACGGCTATCCCTTCCATCTGGCCTGGCTGATGCCTCCTCCCCCAACTCAGCCCTGCCTGCCTGCTCTGTTTCACATCACTTTATGTTTCTCTAGCCCAGGGTCTCCCCCCAACCCCAGCACTGTGGACATTCAGGGTCAGGTCACTCTGTGTGGGGGCCGTCATGGGCACTGTGGGTGCTAAGCAGTCCCAGAGGGGCAGAATCACCAGAGTGAGAACCAGTACTGGAAATTACTTTCCACTGCAGTGGAACTCCCTGGTGAACCCCCACCTCCCCAGAGCGAGGCCAGCACAGAGCGGTGTGTGGAGCACAGGGGTGGGGGTGGCAGGAAGCAGTGATGGGACCCAGGGCTGAAGTCCCCTCCAGCCTGTGGTGCCCAGCGTTTTCTGGCCACGAAAACACAGGCACCCTCCAACAACGGCCTCATCTGTGTCTGAATGGCCCAAGACAGGGCCCTGGGATGGCTGCCGCCTTGAAGGCTGGGGGTGCACTGACCTTGTCATGGGTGGAGGGGCCAGTGCTCACGTCCCAGATGGTGGGCACCTGGTTGAGGCTGTCAGCGGGCAGGAAGTCAGGTGTGTCTGCGATGTCCGAGAGGGAGTCCACGGACGAGGAGAAGATGGAGGCATTGGAGAGGTCATCGAGGTACGAGGTGTCCTGGAAGACAGGTCAGGTGAGAGGCAGCTGGGGCAGCCATGCGGACGGTGCCACAGGGGCCCGAGCCACACAAAGGAGAGCAGCACTGACACCTGCTGCCCCGTGGACGGACCCTGAGAGCACGAGCTCAGGGAGAGAAGCAGACACAGGAGGACACACAGTGTGTGAGTCCATGGATGTGAGGCGTCCAGAACAGGCCAGTCCACAGAGATGGACAGTGGGTTTGTGGTTGTCAGGGGCTGGGGGAGGGGTCAGGGAGGTGACTGCTCATGGGGATGGGCTTCTTTTGAGGGTGATGAGAATGTTCTAGAACTAAACAAAGGTGACGGTTTGACAACTCTATGAATATACTGAAAACACTGAATTATGCATTTCAAGTAGGTTAACTGTACAACATGTGAATTACATCAATAAAGCTGTCTTTGAAAGAAAAAAAAGGAAAGATCCCAAGCAGAGGTGAGAGAATCGGAGCCCACAGGCTACAAGCTGGACATCACTTAAGTGACAGTGGGAGAGGGTGCCAGACACCTGGTGCCTTCCCTGGCCCATCCGCATGGAGCTGGCGCCAGGACAGGGACGCTGGGGCCCAGAGGCCCCCACACCCAAGGGAGAAGTCTGCTCTGAAGGTCACACGGTTTGTAAACCTAAATCTAAAGGAAATCAGGCTCAGTGCCGGGAGGGGCTCCTGTGCTCCCTCCCTCCTTCCCACCCCGGTCAAGGGCAAGGAGCACCTGTGTGCCTGGCCTGTGCCAGACATGGGGACACGTGGAGCCAGACCTGGGGCTCTGTGACCGGCGCAGAGCGAGCCCCCACCACACCCCACCGGGTCGCGGTGCCCACAGCGCCCGCCCCCTGGGGAGGCGGCGAGTGCTGTTCTGCCGCAGGGGCCCCAGCGCTGGAGGGAGGGAGCCCCCATCCTGCCTGCTACGGGAGAGCCAGGCCTCGGTGGCCGCAGAGGGCCTGTCACGCTGACGTCTGGCCCCAGCACATTCGTGCCCTGTCAGTGGGAGGTTTCCTGAGCAGGGCAGGGGCCGAGGAGGAGGGAGCGCAGCCCTCAGGGAGCCCCCAGTCCCAAGCACTGTTCTTACATCTCAGCCTCCCAGGGCTGCTGGAGGGTGGTAGCCGCTGGGCTGGGACAGACAGGGCGCACGCCCCACTAATCAGAGGGGGAAGGTGAGGAGGATGGGGGGCAGCGTCCCCGCAGCCCCAGGTCCCTGAGAACGGGCCGCTGCTCTTGGCCAGCGCTGGGCCCTGCCCCCATGCCTCCTCAAGGGCTGTGTTTCTGGGGCTTCCCTCCTGCTGATCTGCACTGGATCAGACCCTGACTCCTGGGGGCGAGGGACCTCCGGGACACTGTCCAGCTTTGCCAGGACTCCGTGCTTGGGTGCTGGTGTGGGCACAGCCCCACAACAGGCTGGCTTGAGCCCCCAGTGCCCAAAGGACAGCAGGCCAGGCATGAACGGGTGGAGAAGGGGTGGGGACAGGTCCACCCAGTGGCCTCCCTGCGGACGGCTCGACATGGGAGCCTCAGCCTGTGCATCTACTGGATGGAGTTGGTCCTGGTGCAGGCAGGAGGTCGGGGCCTTGCCAAGTCAGCTGGTATGAGGCTGGGGCCCTATCTGGACACCTCCCACTGCCCAGGTGCCCTGGCCCTGGTGGCAGGAAAGGCAAGGGCTCTGCCCGCTAGGTTCCCCCTCGCCCCGGCCCCACCTGCACCCACCAGCAGCAGGACTTGGGACACGGGAAGTCCGGATGAGGAGGTGGGGCCGCGGCTGCCTGACCCGGAGGCAGACAGCGTCCAGCAGGACCGGCTCGGGCTCGGGCGGCAGCCTGGGGAGGTTTATAAAAACCCCGAGCTCCAGGACAGAAGCAGGAGGGGAATGCCAAGCCCAGAAGCGGGAAGTGGTACTCCTGGGGCGCCCGGCACCCTCACGTGAGAGCCAGCGACTCAACAAGCCAGAGCATCCATCTCGGGGGAAACTGAGGCAGCGGTGGTTGGTCTGGCCCTGCTGAGCCTGAAGCCTGATCTCTGCTGCATCCAGGAGTCAAAAGTGGCCCATCCAAGTCTGGTGGACGATGCTGGGGGAGGCTGGGCTGCAGAAGCCGGCCGCCCAGTCCCCAAGAAGCGACAGCGGGCAGAGACCCCCGGAGACCCCGCAGGCTGGTTGGAGTAGGGTCTGAGCACAGGCAGGGGTAGCCACGTGTCTTTGCAAAAATCCCTCTGGGACCACAACTGAGTGTGGCCTCTCCGCCAGGTCAGAGTGACGATGGCCCCGGCCCATCAACCAATGACCCTGGTGCCTGGAGAGATGGCCCTGCTTCCCGAAGGCAGAGCAATCACTGACCAGCGGGCAGGGAGGCTGGGCGGGACCTCTGCCAGCCCGAATGAGGGCAGAGGCATCAGGTAAGGAGGGGCTCAGGGGACCCCCCCAAATCTGAGAGGGCTGCGCATGGAGACCCTTTCCCAGGAGAACAGTGTGGAGAGGAGGGAACCTGCCATGGAGGAGCCAGAAGCAGGGACCCTAGTGTGACAGGCGAGTAGGACACGTCCCCTCTGAGGTTATCCCCAAACCCATCACCCCAGCACGATCACAAGGGAACTCCAGACAAACCCAGACGCCTGGTCTGGGCTCCTCACGACTGCCCGGGCACCCACATGAGGAGGGACAGAGAAACCACACAGCCCGGGGGGCCTGAATGTCACAGGCACGGGGCAGAGAGGACACAGGGAAGCGTGGACTCGGGGTAACAGTGACGCAGCAACACTGGCTCACCAGCCGGGATGCGCCCAGCACTCAGGTGAGGTGTGACCCACGGGGACTGGTCGTGGGGCACGCGGGAGCCCCCTGAACTATCTTCACCGCCTTTCTGTAAATCTAAACCTGTTCTAAACCATATAGTTTAAAGTGGGCGCTCTCTTCCCACTCCATGGACACCACCTCCACCAGGTGCTCCAATAGGCAGTCGAGCAGCCGGCACTGTCTAGGGGCCCCTGGATCCTTGGGGCAAAGGAAGTGGGGCCTCACTCGGGTCACCAGGGGTTGGGGTCTTTCCCAGCTGCCCACCCCCCATGCAGGGAGGGTGAGGGGATGGGAGTGAGAATGGACCCTCCCTGGTGGGCTGCACGCCTTTGTTGGGACCTAACAGCCAGCAGCCACCAGCAGACCTCCAAGATGACCCAAACCCAGAATCGCCCTCCTTGCTCCTCCCTGACCAGGGCCTCAGCTCCCTGGCCTGTGTCCACTGCTCCTCCTGGCTCACCCCAGCATCTGTGTCTGCACCTGGAGCTCCTCCCAGACCCCAGGCTCCACCCTGCTCCTCCTACTGCAGCCCAGGGGGGGGACTCACTGATTACCCTGACAGTTCTGGGGGACCAGGGCAGGCGCCTGCTGTGACTACTGTCTCTCAGCGATCTGGGGACCCTGGACCAGTGAGGAGCTGCCCATGCAGTGACACCCCCACCTCGCCCCCCTGTAGCCCAGCGGGATAGGGCAGGACAGGACAGCCCCCATGCTGGACCTGGCTCTGAGCCTGCCCCCTGGGGGTCTGCTCAGCACCCCTCCTAGCCGGGCAAGCTGACCCCAGAAATGCCCTTCAGAGGGACAGAGGGACAGGGACCGTTCCTACCTGTCCAATCAGAGCCCGCCTCAAACCATGCCCCACCCCGGCCCTCAGTGACGGCCAGCCGGCCCAGGACACCCGAGAGCCCACAAGACTCCTGCCAGGTGGGAAGGCTCCCAGCCCCCCCACCCCAAGCAGCCCCTCCCGCCTACCCCACAGGGTCCTTCTGAGGCCACCCTCGCCGGCTGCCCCAGGAGCCGCGATTCCCCATATCCCACGTGGCTCTGCCCAGAAAACTCCCTTGGATTCACTCTCGCTGCCAAATCCCAGGACAGAGCAGGCTGGGGGGAGGGGGCCTCCCGGGAGCCTGGCATTCCAGGCAGTTCCCACGGTGGGGTGACCTGCCTGCCGCAGGGAGGGGCCAAGGTCCTGCCGGGGGGTTACCTTGTTGAGAGCTGCGAACTGCAGCCAGAAGCGCAGCTGGGACATGGTGGCCGGGTCCCTGGATGGTGGCGGGAGCGGCTCCCTCATGACCGCGGGCGCTCGCCCCGGCCCCAGCCCGGCTCTCAGCCCGGCTGCATTTGCATGTTGGTTTAGTCACTGCCGGCGCCTACTTCCCCTCAGGCCGGCTGACTTTCAGGAAATGATGCCTGCCTGGTAAGTCAGGACTATTACTGGCAGAGCACGGAGAATTACTGAACGGGGCGTAATCTAGCCACAGCCGGCTGTCAACAAGCCTGCCCGCTGGTCCTGCCGGTCGCACCCTGCTGCCCTGGGCGCCCTTGGCTGTGGCCCAACCCTCAGCGGACACTGGGGTCCAGACAGAATGCCGGGGGCTCAGCTGGGCAGCCCAGGCAGGCCCCTCCCGGGCATGTCCTCAGTTTCACCAGACCCCTGTGCACTGGGCACCGTTCCACCCACACCCCTGCCCAGCAGGGCCTGTGCCCCTGGTGTCCTGGCTCCAGGGGCACAAGCCCCCACGCCACAAGGAGGAAGCTGAGGCCTGGCCGGCCCCTCCGGCCCCCACGCCCTCCCAGGTCTGACCTCCGCCCCTCAGCCTGGGCCCAGGCTTTCACTGCCACGCAGCTGCCCTGGAGCCTCCAGCGCCCCCGCCGGCTCACGCCAGGGCCTTTGCCATGCTGAGGCCCCACCTGGAGAGCCTGTGGGGACTCGGACCCACCCTGCTCCTTCCCCTCCAGCCTTGGCGAGGGGTCCAGTGTCCCTGAAACCCCATTGCTCCTGCAACCTGCAGCCCAGCACTGAAGGCCAGATGCAGACGGGGCTGGCAGCAGGGGGCACACAGCCCTCAGATGAGGGTGCCCTGTCCTGGGTTGTTTCTTCAGAGTACCTACTTCACAGGACAGTTCTGAGCCGGCATTCAGCCGAGGAGGGTGCTGGCCCGTGGGTCTCCCCGCACCTGCATGGCGCCCAGGGACGCT